TAGTCTAAAAGTATTTTCTGACTTTAAATAACATGCAAAGGGATGATAAGCCGTAAAAAATATTCGTAAACTTATTCAGGAATAAATTCATGCACGTAGTTTTGATGGCAAAAATTCATGTCTTATACTAACGCAAAAGTGGATTGAATTTGATCCGCACTGAGTGTTTTATTAGTTTTGGGGGATTTTTTAACCTTGTGTTAAATTAAGCCTAGTAAATTTCGGTAAGGAAGAGGACGTAGTATTTAATAATTTGTTTGTATAAGTAACCTGATTTTACAATTTACTTTCTATACAATATGCGAGGGCCAGATAAAAAGTTCGCAGGCTGTTGTTAACCCCCTCTCTCTCTCTCTCTCTCTCTCTCTCTCTCTCTCTCTCTCATAGGCTTGGTTCCGCCAGATCTAGTCTTCACGGCTAGGACCGCCCTGCCACGTCCATTGTAGCAAATCATCCAAATTCCCCTCTGCATTCCATCGGTGAGAAGTAAATTCCACTCAAATAGCTCTGTGAAACCGACACCCAGGAGTATGTTTTCCGGATCAACTACAATCTTAACCTGTTCAAGTCTAGAGTTAACCGTTACCTTACTCTCGTATCCATATAAACTATCCATTAACGTAACCATCTACCTCGAGTTGTCCCGGGATCTTGTACAGGGAGGACCCTAATGTAAAAAAATATGACTGATATAATACGGACAACAAACTTCTTGCCGCATTTTCTTATGTATAATGCGATCAGTTTTGAACGAAAATTAAAGGCAAAAAAGGGGGATGCATTATACACAAGTACATATTTTCAGGAGGCACGGTGGAGTAAGTGATAGCAGAATCGGGGAGCCGAGTTCGAATTCCAGTCGAATCCATTACATTCACTTATGGAAAGATATGAATCCTCTTCTTCTCCCCCCACCCAACTATGGGTAAATAGCAGGACAGACCGGGTTCTATAGCCTTGGATGGCATGAAATTGCAACCTACTGCGGGAAGAAATCTGCTTCGTCAGTCATGTATCGTAAGATACATGATCGCCTACGTGTGTATCACACATGACACATCACTGACTGACGTTTTCTAAGCTAAGTAACATTTTCTGAAAATTTTATGAAAAGTAGTATGTTTCCCCGATCAACTACAATCTTAACCTGTTCAAGTCTAGAGTTAACCGTTACCTTCCTCTCGTATCCATATAAACTACCACTTAACGTAATCAACTACCTCAAGGCTAGAGGTAAAGGGACACACCAGGTTGTAGACTAAAAAAAACCTGCATTTCTACCAGAATACAATAGATAGCCAACCAGCTGTTGTCTTCTGGTATATATGCATGTATTTTAGTCTAACAACTGGTGTGTCTACTTACACTTGGCCAGCCTATGAACTACAAATTTCCCTGATATAGATTTTACTTTATTAGTTACTATATTTCTCTAATTCTTCAAAAGTCAAATGAATAACTAATTCTAATTTAAATATTTCCATTTTATACCATATTATAGAAGCATAGAAAATATTATAATCACTACTCTGATTATCATTATTCTCTCCCCCCTTTCTTTTCTACTCTCTCCTTTCTCTCTGTATATATATATATATATATATATATATATATATATATATATATATATATATATGTGAGTCTGGAAACAATTTTAGATTTCGTTTTAATAACCATAAACAAACAATACGTCAAAACAACCCTTATTCCCCATAGCTAAACACTACAATCAATCAGGACACATTAGAAAACTGCAAATGTTTATTAATAGATTCCGATTTTACTTCCACATTCACATGCAGAAAAAAAAAAAGAAACATATTGGATTTTAAAATTAAATACACATAAACTAGGGTTGAATAGGGACTTAGGTGTTTTAAATCTTTATAAATATTTCAATAGTTAAGCAATTTTTTTTAGATATAGTAAAAAATTTTTTAAATATTTATGACAGTTAGATTTGGTTAGAATATCCGAACAGTGACGTTCCATATCACGTGACGTCTGCGTCTCGCGAAGGACGCTACTTGCTAACAAACAGTAATTTTAATTTATTTGTAACAAACAGTTATTTCTGATGAAAAATTGAGGACAATTTGAAATATCAAATATATATATAAATAAATAAATACTTTCATAAAATAAAACATTATAATTTTCAATTTGAAACTTTTTCTATATATACATATTAAGAAAGTATACGTGGCTTCTCATTATGCTATATATATATATATATATATATATATATATATTAAGCGTTTCATCCCAAGCAAGGCGGGAATCCACTAGCACGCAAGGGGTTACAGAGAGTTGGAGCGAGAGCAAAGAGGAGTAATAGAGGAAAGGATGAAGAGACGGTTAGGGGATAAATCAGGGCATCTGGAGACGTCGATTGATATTACATTTGAATAGTTGGAGATTGTAGCTATCAGGAAAACAGGAAGAGGGGAGGGAGTTTCACAGGCGAGAAGTGCGAGACATGAAGCAATTGGAGTAGAAGAGACAGTGAACGGGTTTGAGCGAGATGCCAGCCTAGTAGAACGCTTAAATTCATGAAATCTGGGAACCAGCGAAAGCAACTCCTCGGAGCAGTTACCGTGAAAGTATTTGTTAAAAAAGACAGAGGGACGCGACGGCATGTCTGTGAGAGAGCGACTGCAGACAAGATGCCAGATCGGGGCCAATTACGTTGCATATCCGTTTCTGGATCTTATCAAAAACCTTGAAACAAACATACGGGGCACCAGACCATAATTGTTAGACATTTTCATGACGGTCGTCTTCGAGTATAGAATCCAGAGGTTGGCAGTGAATATTTCGGAGACAGTAGGAAAGCGTAGTTCAGGTTCGCAGTGGATATCACAGCAGAGTGTAGTTCTTCCTTCTGTCGTGTTCGCCTGACAAGTTGGCTCTGGCCCTTCCGGCAGGAAAAACAAAGATGACCGCCTTTATACAAGACGGATACAGTGTTCTGCGACTTCTGATTGGTTAATCTTCTATTGGTAGACTATAAAGGGAAATAAGTCATTCTGACTCGCTCACTAGTTATATACATATATACAAAAAAAAACCGTAACACATATATGGCAGCAATACTCCATGCCTTTTGTTATTGCCTTTATAACTCCTCTTTATCTTTACGATACTCATCCCCCCCACCATTTGCTCGAATTTGTGAAGTCAGTTACTTTTTAGTTTTCTTTGCCTTCACTCTTATGAATGTTAAATACTCATGTTGCAACCTATGGAAGGTTACTGAATAAGATAATCAAACGAAGGTTGGTAATAAAAGCTAATACTTAGGACAAGAACAACACATATAAGATTCGCAAGCGGCGCGTAGAAGTAGTAGTCAATTTCCACAAGTGTGCCAAGTGATTTCCACAGTGAATATCCAACTGTCGGATATCTACTAACTGGTCAGATGTGGCACAAGGCCGAATTTAATGTGGGGTATCCGAGCCCGTAGGCTCGGCCATAAATTCCCCGTAGACCCCGTATAAAAACGGGGTTGGGTAGCTGTTTCCCGAGACGAGACTCTGCCCTTCGACATAGCCTCATCTAGGGATTCTCTTTGCTCGGAGGCAGAGTTTAACCAGCACACCTGGAGACTAATCTCCGACTGCAGACCAACATACAGTATTTACTACTGTATTTATGTGAATGGGGACATACCCGTTATCGTCCTTAGGCATGCTACAACAACTCCATGCCGTCTTTTCTTATGATATCTACCCCAAATTCCATTTTCTGACTGTAAGTAAGTCCGACAATTATTTTAAGGCATTTTTATTATTCATTCTTTTTTATAGATACAAATATTTAAGTAAATGCTCTGTTTATAATAAACAGTATTAACAACATTTACCGGCCTGAACGTCCGAGAAATTGTCATAGAAAATATGCGTCCTCCGACAGGAATCGAACCTGTATCCTATACGGAACCGTCATATAGCCTGACGTGGTTTTATCGATATTATGTAATGGACAAAATCCGACAATTATTTTAAGATATTGTTATGTTTATACATTCTTTTTTATAGTTTTTTTATAATGTGTGACGTCATTTGTTTACATTTGGATACGCATCGAACAGATATGAATGTGTGTGAGAAAATCATGGAAAATTGTAGCAAAAACAGTAAAATCGACCTTGCTAACCAAACGCTCCTCTGTGGCGAAATCGGTAGATATATATGTTAGATTTTATAGATATATATGTTAGATTTTATGATGCAAGTCAATGATTTTACAAGGAAACTGCTACTGAAAAACAAATAGATTGCTATGAGATATTCATCCTCTTGTATGGCAGTGAATATTGGACAATTTCTCCGCAGATGGGGGGAGGGAACTAGAAACAGCAAAAATATGGTACTACAGAAGGATACTGAGAATGCCATGGACAAAGCGAGTAAACAACAGGGAAAGAAAATGGCAACAGATTTATAGGTGAATGGATCGATCAATTTACTTGGACTCAGTGGAAACAGGGCGAACAATATCTGAGCAGCATTAAATTATTAGACGAGTTATCTCCCCTAGACATACTCAATAGAACGAGAACAATCTATCTCCGTAGATTAAATAAAGAGTCCAGTTCGAAATTCCTTGAAGGTTACCCGAATCGACATTCACCCGACAGATGACTAAGGGGACAACGGCCGAAACGTTGAGATGATAACAACAACAAAGAAGAAGATAATCGTCCGATTGTAAATAATAATATAAATAATGAATTTGCGAAGTCTGTCGAGTCGAGGACATTTCCAATCGCCCACTATCGTTGACTAAAGAGAAAATTTCGGCTTAAAATACAGGTAATAAAAACGTATCAAGGTACGGATTTATTGATGAGTACAGAAAGGTAGAGTGGGCGCGCGCGCGTGTGTGTGTGTGTGTGTGTGTGTGTGTGTGTGTGTGTGTATTTCCTCCGTATCTCTACGTGTTGCTCTGATTCATTTGGATAAATTAACAAAAAGCTTTCGCCTACAATGTTTTTAAAAATTGATGCTAATAGAAAAAGTGACAAAAAGGTAAGGGAAAGAGAAAGAGAAAAGGAAGATTTCTTTTAAAAAGAAATCTTCCTTTTCTCTTTCTCTGTGGAAAGAAAGAAAGAAAGAAAGAAAGAAAGAAAGAAAGAGAATTAGAAAAAATAACGAAAAACTAAAAGAAATAGAAAAAATAGAAAATAAAAACAAAGGTAAAAGAAAGAAAGAAAGAAAGAAAGAAAGAAAGAAAGAAAGAAAGAGAATAAGACAAGAACGAAGAATAAATGTGATATAAAAAATATAAGTTAAAATGAAAACAAACGTAAAAGAAAGAAAGAAAGATAGGAAGGAAGAAAGAAAGAAAGAAAGAAAGAAAGAAAGAAAGAAAGAAAGAAAGAAAGGCATGAAGGAAGGAAGGAAGAGAATAAAAAAGAACGAAAAATAAACGAAATATAAAAAGGTTAAAATAAAAATAAAGGTAATAGAAAGATAAAAATAAAGAAAGATAGAAAACATGAAAGACCGAATGAAAAAAAGAAAGAAAGAAAGAAAGAAAGAAAGAAAGAATATAAGAAAAAATAACGAAAAACTAAAAGAAATAGAAAAATAGAAAATGAAAACAAAGGTAAAAGAAAGAAAGAAAGAAAGAAAGAAAGAAAGAAAGAAAGAAAGAAAGAAAAAAAGAAAGAAAGAAAGAAAGAAAGGAAAAAAGCGGGGAAGAGAATAAGACAAGAACAAAGAATAAATGTGATATAAAAAAATATAAGTTAAAATGAAAACAAACGTAAAAGAAAGAAAGAAAGAAAGATAGGAAGAAAGAAAGAAAGAAAGAAAGAAAGAAAGAAAGAAAGAAAGAAAGAAAGAAAGAAACCAACAGACAGACAAACTAAACAAAAATAATCAAACAAACAAAAAAGAAAGAAGGGAAAGAAGAGAAAAAGAAAAAGAACGAAAAAGAAAATAAATATAAAAATAAAAGTTAAAACGAAAACAAAGGTAAAAAAAAAATAAACATAAAGAAAGAAAGAGAAAATATGAAAGACGGAATGAAAGAAAGAAAGAAAAAAGAAAGAAGCAAAGAAAGAAAACAGAAAAAAACGATGGAAGTGAATAAGAAAAAAGAACGAAAAATAAAAGAAATATTAAAAATAGAAATTAATATGAAAACAATGGTAAAAGAAAGAAAGAAAGACAGAAAAAGAAAGAAAGTAAGAAAGAAAAAGTTAGAAAGAAAGAGAATAAAAAAGAACGAAAAAACAAAAAGAACTTAAAATGAAAACAAAGTTAAAACAAAAAAGAAATAAAGAAAAACAAAGAAAGAAAAAAGAAAAGAAAAAAAAAGAAAAGTCAAAGAAATTAAAAACATAAAAGTTAAAATGGAAACAACGGTAAAAATAAGAAAGAAAATGAAGTTAAATAGAGAAAAATTTAAAAGAAAAAGAAAGGAAAAGAACGTAAAATAGAATGAAAACAAAAGATAAAAGAGAGAAATCAAAAAAAAAATGAGTCAAGAGAAAAAAATTAAAAAGAATGAAAGGAAAAGAATGAAACAACGAAAGAAAATTACGACAATGAAAGAAAAAGGAAAAAGGGAAAGGAAAAGCAAAATAAGTATGAAAAAATAAAAAATAAAATAACAGAAGAAAGAAAGAAAGAAAGATAATAAAAATTAAAAGACATAAAAAAAAAAATTAAATATGATAAAAGAAAGAAGTTAAAAAGAAAGAGAGAATAAAAACAAAGAAAACAGTTAAAATGAAAAGAAAAAAGAAAACATATACGAAACATGTTTAAAAGAAGACAAAAAAAGAAAAAGAAAAGAAGGACGTAAGAAAGAATAAATATGAGCAAAGAAGATGCAAAGAGAAAGAAATAATAAAGAAAAAATGGAACAAAAGAAAGAAAGAAAGAAAGAAGGAAAGAAAAACGAACTAAAGAAAGACAATAAAATGAAGACAAGATAAAAAAAAATAGTAAAGAAAAAGTGGAAGGAAAAATAATGCATAAAAATAAGAAGAAAAAATTCTTTGATCCTTGTGACGTCATACAAAGAAATAAATTGATAATTCTGAAGAAAAAAATATCACCTTCCAGAAAAGAAAGAATTAAAAAGAAAAGTAAAGAAAAAGTGGATAAAAAACATAACCCAAAAAAAAAGATCGATTCAGTCTATTTAATTGTCACAATAATATACGTTTTGTTCACCTTTGTAAAAGAAAAAAAATGGCGAGAAGAGGTGTCGGCCTCAAAGAATATCCGGTAATGAAGAAAAAACCTGGTCGCGCGCGACAAAGCCCTTCGGTCGATAAAGCATGAATTATAGATTTCTCACAAATATACATCATTTATAGATACAAATCGATTATACGAGACTCGGAACATTAAGATGAAAATACAGAATGGTTTTATTATGTCGATGGGCTTTTGCGTTCGGCTGCGCAGAAGGTAACCAATCAGATTCATGGATCGATTTATAGCTGAACCATCCCCACCTCTTACCCATCTCCCCCTCTCTCTTTCCAGTCGTTCTCTCTCCCTCTTTTTTCTCCTTTTCCTATTAATCAATAATTTATTTTCTTCCGATTCTCCGAATCTTCACCCATTAACTCTCTCTATTCATTCACTCGCTAAATCACTCTTTTACCTCTCTCACTATGTATGCAGTTTATTTCAAATCACTCACCTTATTTCTTAATACATCTCTCTCTCTCACACACACACACACACATGCACACACAGCATAGATAGATAGATAGATAGATAGATAGATAGATAGATAGATAGATAGATAGATGCGAACAACAGATAGATAGATAGATAGATAGATAGATAGATAGATAGATAGATAGATAGATAGATATACACGCTCTCTCTGTATAAGGTACGATGGATAACTTGTCGTCTACATAACGCAAAAATGAAAATAACGCTGGCATCTCATTTTAACAGATATATTTATGAAATTACACAAAAATATCCCAATTGGCTTCAACTACGGCCTCCAGACGACTTCGGAATCTCCTGCAACTCTTCTGTATGGTCTCCTTGTTTAAGATGAAGTATGCTGCCATGATCCTTGCCTTCAGTTCATCTTTGGTGTTACAAGGAGATTTGTAGGTCAACTGCGATCCACACACATAATAATCAAGGCGGTTGTAGTCTGGGGAGTTAGGTCCCCAGATGTAAGGGATGATGTGGTCGTAGAAATTGTCTGACAGCCATGACTGGGTTCTCCTACTTGTGTGTCATGGTCCAGAGTCTTGTTGTCAGAGGTAAGGTCTTCCAGCAGCTATCCTCTTAATAGCACTACCTCCGCCAGGCCCTTGATGTAGGCCTCCAAGTTGAATCTGGTGACCTGTGAAAAGATGAATGGAGGCCTGACGTCACCGTCACTAGTGATCACTCCAAACATCATGATGTTGACTCAATATATCATTCAACTCTTTCCTGATCATTTTTACTGTCCTCAGATTCACACCCAAACACTCTCAAATCTTCGTATTGGAGCTTCCGGCGGGAATGACAAGCAGTATATAATGCCGTTTCCAAATTTCTGGCTGACTGAATTGCGTCATGGTGCTCTTTTTTCTCACAGACGGTGCCCAACTGATCTGTACAGTCGACAGTCAAAAACAAATGAGCGCATGCGCGAGATTAAAAATATAAAATGGCAACAATCTACTAATCACACCCTGTATATACATATGTACACATATATGTATGGGCACCTCGATGTGGTGTAATGGTTAGAACGCTTCTTTTGCTAGATCAATTACGACTGAGTAGTGAGTTCGATCCTCACTGGGTGCCCCATACTTTCGGACTTGTGCCACATCTAAGCCGGGCTTAGAAAATCACTATACACATATATGTATATACATATGCGTGTGTGTGAGTTAATAATAAATTGTTACAGTACAGTAAAAATATCAATATTTAAATTATGCATTGTGCATGAAACTCATAGTCCCGCTAATCATGTATATTTATTATTAACATGAAGTATAAATTATGTCATTACACATTAAATTATTAACACCAGCAATCAATATATATATATATTGATTGCTGGTGTTAATAATTTAATGTGTAATACATACATACATAAATATATATATGTTATGGGAGCTCCCCTTTTTCATATAAGTGGACTCGACCAGAGTGTTACTTGGACTGCTGCCGTTAAATACCCAGAGTCAGTCAGAATACAGAGAGATTGAGAGAGTGAGCAGAGATTGTGATTGAGTTGGAGGTAGAGTAATAGTGTGAGGTAACCGCTTGTAAAAGTCACAGTTACAAACACGTAGACTCTAAGGAAGTCCTACTTCGAGACTATATATATATATATATATATATATATATTAATTATTGCTACTAACTCGTTCCTGGATTTACTAACAGTATTACCCATTGTGTTATTGTGTAAATACATTTTATTTTTTATATTTCATCCCTGCGTTTGTCATTCATTGAGACCGAATTCATCTGAATCCACAACAATATATTTATAAATATATGTAGTGAGCACGTAGTTGAGTATATATATATATATATATATATATATATATATATATATATATATATATATATATCCAAATGAGAGAAAGAACAAATAGAGTAAGAATCCACCTTTCGTAGCATTATTTTTTATAAAAGTGCTCAATACAAAGTAGACCAAAATATTATTATTATATTTTTATTATAATAAATTACAATAACATTTTTTACATCGCTACACAAAAATTATCATGTTTCAATACTAACATGGTACTTCTTCAGACGATGGTAGCAAGTTATCATACTTTTTCATTTGGAAAGTAAATCGTTCACTCGCCAGTATTTGTGTAGCGATTTTGACATGTTTTCGATGTAATGTCCTAAAAAATATAATATTGCTCTAATTTGTATTGAGCCCTCTTTTAAATTAAATGTTACGAACGTTGGAATTGTACTCTATTCGTTCTCATCTTACCTGGGTATATATTTGTTAACCTTACTATATATATATATATATATATATATATATATATATATATATATATATATATATATGTAAGCAAATATATGATCTTATAAAACTTTCAGTTATCTGTTTGGATAAGTCTTGTTCTTATGTACATCGTCTTTGTCATGTTGAATTGATAATGTTAATTATATTTTATGAATATGTCCTGAAGATGGTTTATTAGACCGAAACGTCCGACGTTGACATATTAACATTAAAACAGCATAATTGCATATAAGGATTTTTGTTTGTTTTTTCAGTATATATTTTTCTTCATATATATATATATATATATATATATATACAGGGTGGCCCAAAAGTTACTGACCCATGAAAAAATTCCTAACTATTTTATTTCTGAATATATTTCTTTTATTTTTTTTCAGAGCATTTAGAATTGCCCTTCCGACGTCACCATGAGCAGATATAACGCCGAGGAACGAACCCTCATTGTACAGTAGTACTTTGAAACCCATGGGTCAATTTCGGAAACGCTGCTTTCTTACCGTCGGCATTTTAATATCAGAGAACCCCCGAGGAAAAACACGATTCGCGGAATAGTTAGCCGTTTTCAGGAGCAGGGTGCAGTTTGTGATCTCCCAAGATCTGGAAGTCCTTGTACGGCAAGAACTGTTGCGAATCAACGAGAATTGGAGTGAAGCCTGGAAGAAAATCCATCTGTTTCAACCAGAATGTTTCAGAGAATATTGCCGAAAATCTTGGAAATATCATTTTACATACTTCTGAAATTTTGGAAGTATACCTTGAGAATTATAAAAGTTATTAAAGATTTAAAAGGGTCAGTAACATTCGGGCCACCCTATATATATATATATATATATATATATATATATATATATATATATATATATGTAACCCGGATATAAGAGAGTTGTCGGGACAAGAGAAGAAGTCTCTTATATCCGGGTTTTCTTATATTCGGGTTTGGTCTATTTTATATACATTAACACAGGCTCTAATTTGGGATCGGTGAAAATCTCTCTTATATCAGGGTTACTCTTATATCCGGGTCTCTTTATATCCGGGTTACACTATATATTTATATATATATATATATATATATATATATATATATATATATATTTATTATTAATATGAATTGGCGTCAGTCGGGGATTCTACCACTAAGCCGTTGGCGCACGGCAGGGATGAAGGTGAATTTAAGCGTATTTATTTTAGATAAAACACATTGACTGAGAGAACTGATTCGATTTACATGAAGAGTCTTGCATTATTAGCAGTAATAGTCACTGTTTACAAACCCACACTTCCTCCCTAGAGAGCTCAACCGAAATAAATTTTTCAGGAGCATATATATATATATTTTTTCCTTCTGTTCGTAGAAGTGTTTTCTTTTCTGGACATAAAGCGTGTAAAAATTGTTCTGTATATCAAAGCGCTTTCGATTGTCCTTTCAACCATTAATCAAGGATGTTATTTATTTTTATTTTTAACTGAAGGGGTAGATTTTTATGTATGTGTTTAGTAATATTTAGTCAAACGTAAGAACGCCGAAAATGAAAAGCAATTGCTTAAGTACACAAAAAGCAATCCTTGAAAATGAATGTAGTATCACTCGAAAGTTAAAAATTATTTCTATACTCACTCCCTAATGATCCAATTGATAACACACACTCATAGTAATATACACGCTTACACACATCATACTCACTCACTCGCTAAGATACAAATAACGCACACATACTTAACAGAGACACATCCCCTTCCATGAACCAATAAAACTGTCAAAATGACCAAGGGAATTCAGAGCTCTTATTTCAAATAACAACTTAAAAGAGACTGTTTGACCAACACAAGGCCTGACCAAAATTCATGTTAAAAAAATGAAATAACAAATGAAAACTACAGACAAAAGTTCATTTCTCCATCAAGACATCCATTTCTGTAGTTCACGGCTACCAGCAAGCAGAAAATTATTTTTCTCCTGATGATGGCCATGTTGGCCGAAACTAGTCGAGGAATCTAAATGAAATAATAATAAAAACGAAAGAATATTAATATACAACCCAGTGTGTCTGAAGATTTTAATTTTTTAATAATTTTTATTGTTCAATATATATATATATATATATATATATATATATATATATATATATATATATAACCGAATCTTTCATTCGACGTACAGATAAATGCTTATTATGTTACCGATAAGCACACACGTACAAAGAGAGAGAATCATGAATAAAAATGGCCGTGCATTAAGATCAAATATACAAATATACGCATGCGCAGACATCGATTGATATTTAATTGTACGTTCACACGGATAACCGTTCGCGTATTTGCAAGCATACATATATTTGAGAGGAAGTACAAATACATTTATGCACGCGTTCATTTTCTCTTGATGTTGATAAACAGTTATTATGTTACTAACTCCCGGGTTATTGATAACACACACAAAAGTAACCCGGATTGGTTACCTTCTGTGTGTATACGCAACAGGTTTAATAACCTGGATCGTTCTTAAAGTGATCACTCTGCTTAACCAGCAGGTGGCGTTATGAATTCTACGACGACTACAGTAAATAAAAACATCTACTTTTCGCTATGAAGGTCGTTACTCACCTGGTTAAGACAGAAAAGAAGTCGACCAACTTCATCAAAATTTGGCGAATGGTGGGTAAATATTGTGCGTTTGCGTCGGGTGAAAGGCGATGTTTCAGAGCGGCTAGGCAAAATGATTTGGGGCCTGTGAAGTAGCTCCAAATCCGTAATAGTCTAGTTTTTTTGTTTTGTTTTTTTGCGGGGGGTATTTTATTTACTCTATTATTTTTTTTAACTAAGCTAGAGATGTGGAAAAAGCTATAAGCAGTAAAAGTCTGGTTCTACAGAAGGATACTGAGAATTTCATGGCCGGAGCGAGTAAGAAACGAGAAAGTCTTAAAGGAAATGGCAACAGGAAGTACACTTCTATTCAGAAGCAGGAAGAGACAGCTGAAATACCTTCGACTTGAGGATGGATGACTTGGAAAACTTAACCTGGAGGAGAAAATAGATAGAGGAAGGCAGCGTGCCACTTCGTAGACGAGCTTGTAGGAATAGATGGCGGAACATGTGAGCCTTAAGAAAGGGAGAAAAACCGCTAAGAGCCACATGAAATGGGAAACTGTGGAGGGCCATGATCGCCTATACCCTGAAGAAGATGATGTAAGATTGTTTTTGTCCCTTCGACTTTAATTCTTCAACTCCTCTACCATAAGGTAACAGAGATTTCAGTTCTCTGGTAGGTGCGGAATACAAGTATCTTTTTTTTGGGTGGGTGTATCTGGTTTTGAGGCCTAATCAGAGCCTGCTTGTGTCAGTGCCTGACTGAGTGATTTGGTTTGCTTTTTAAATACGGTTTTTTTTTCGGGCAGTTAACTGTTATTTCTGACAGAAATCTACCTTTTTCGCGACCTTTGAGATGGGTTTAACGTGTTCTATGTTTTCTACATCTTTCTGTTGTGTTTCTGTCTTCGAACATTTCACAGTCATTTCAGGGCTTACAGGGAGTAGAAGTGAGAGAAAAGACTGAGTATAGGGAGGGTGAAGGAAAGGACAAAAATGAACGGGATTCAAGAAGATAGAAAATGGCGATCAATGTTGCATTTAAGGTTTGTTAATCATTTCACCCCAAACAAGGCCGGAATTCCACTAATTCGCAGGGGCTTACAGGGAGTGAAAGTGAGAGAAAAGACTGAATATAGGGAGGATTGAGGAAAGGACAAAAAATGAACGGGATTCAAGAAGATAGAAAATGGCGATCAATGTTGCATTTAAGGTTTGTTAATCATTTCACCCCAAACAAAGCAGGGATGTCACTAGCACGCAGGGGCTTACAGGGAGTGAAAGTGAAAGAAAATACTGAATATAGGGAGAATTGAGGAAAGGATAAAAATGAACGGGATTCAAGAAGATAGACAATGGCGATTGACGTTGCATTTAAGGTTGTTTAATTATTTCACCCTAAACAAGGTAGGAATGCCGCTAGTACGCAGCGTGGGGAGGGTTACAGGGAGTGAAAGTGAGAGAAAAGACTGAGTATAGGGAGGATTGAAAAAAGAACAAAAGATAAACGGGATTCAAGAAGATAGCAGATGGCGATTGACATTGCATTTAAATATTTGAAGATCGTAGTTATCAGGAAAGCAAATAAACGAAAGGGAATTTTACAGGCAAGAAGTGCGAGAAAAGAAACTGTTGGAGTAGAAATGTCGGTTGCATTTCATTATTTCAACAGTAAAAGGGTAGGCCATAAAATATCTATCATCTTTTTCTCATTCCATGTTGATCACTTCCCCACCTTCTTGTCCTCTTTTCATGTCGTTACCATCTTTTTGTCTCTCGCTTTCTCTTTTTCCCCCTCTCTTTGTCTCTCGCTTTCTCTTTTTCCCCCTCCCTTTGTCTCTCGCTTTCTCTTTTTCCCCCTCCCTTTGTCTCTCGCTTTCTTTTTCCCCTCCCTTTGTCTTTTCGCTTTCTTTTTCCCCTCCCTTTGTCTCTCGCTTTCTCTTTTTCCCCCTCCGTTCGTTTCGCTCTCTGTTCCTCGGCTTCTCTCTTCTTCTATCTTCTTTTCTCTCCCCTTTCACTCCATCTGTTATTTCATATCTCTTTCTCTCACACACTCGTTCTTTTCCTCTCTCTCTCTTATACTCTCTTTTTCTCTTTCTCTCCCTCTCTTACTCTCCTTTCCCTTATTCTCCGTTCTTATCCCTTCACACCACCTCCCAATATGACGGTTATCGTCACAGACACCGGCAAATCGTATTTGAATTCCGTTTGAGTCTGCGTGATACACTTTGCACTAATGCCCTCGGGGAAATCATGAAACCACCTGCTCTCTATCCTAGATATCATGACAAAGGTGTCATCGCTAGTATTGATTTTTTAAGCGTGGGTTAGATGTGGGACATGGTCAAAAGTATGGAGCCCCCAGTGAGGATCGAACTTACTATTCAGTTGTAACTGTTTTAGCGAGAGCAGCTTGCTAACCATTACACCACGCTGAGGCGCTCTAGTGTTTTTGTAAGTGCAGCATAGATGTGGCACAAGGCCGAAAGTATGGGGCACCCAATGAGGATCGAACTCACTCGTAACTGATCTAGCAAGATAAGCTTGCTAACCATTGCCCCACGCAGGGGTCCCTAGGTGTTTTTATACGCGAATCATAGATGTGCCACAAGGCCGAAAGTATGGGGCACCCAATGAGGATCGAACTTACTCGTAACTGATCTAGCAAGATAAGCTTTCTAACCATTACACCACGTCGGGGTGCCCAGATGTTTTTTGTAAGCGCAGCATAGATGTGGAATAAGGCCGAAAGTATGGGGCACCCAATGAGAGTCGATTCTCTCGTAAATGATCTAGCAAGATAAGCTTGCTAAATATTGCACCACGTCGAAGTGCCAAGGTGTTTTTGTAAGCGCAACTTAGATGTGGTACAAGGCCCAAAGTATGGGGCACCCCATGAGGATCGATTCTCTCGTACTTGATCTAGCAAGATAAGCTTTCTAACCATTGGACTACGTCGGGGTGCCCAGGTCTCATCGCTAGCATGTCATCGCTGATTGTTTCTTATTAATTGGAAAGCAGATGGACATTATCCAGCAATGGTGACTTACTCTACAAGTGCTATAAAGGATCCAACTTATCAGACCAACGATCTTCTGACTAATCTGTTAGACATTTTGACGGCCGTCTTCGAGTATAGAATCCAGAGGTTAGCAGTGAATATTTCAGAGACAGTAGGAAAGCTTAGTTCAGGTTAGCAGTGGATATCGCAACAAAGTAGCAGAGCGTAGTACTTCCTTCTGTCATCTTCGCCTGACAAGTTGGCACTGGTCATTCCGGTAGGGTAAACAAAAATGGCCGCCTTTATACACGACGGATAGAATGTTCTGCGGCTTCTGATTGGTTAACCTTCTATTGGTGGACTATAAAGGGAGTTAAGTCATTTTGACTGGCTCACTAGTTATAACATATACACAAAAAATTGTAACACAATCAGACCAAGGATCTTCTGACCAATCAACATCTACTTCCGTTATTTCGTATTTCTCTTCATCCAGATCTATATCTACTTAATAGATGATTATTTTTTCCTGTTTGTACTTCATATTCGGATATTTAATTTATACTCAGATGTACCACATTTTCATAAGTGAGGCAGTTGTTAGGCAACCTCGTCCTTCTTTTTTTTTTTTTTTTGTTTTAGAATAATGTTACCCTGTAAGAGCCACTCGAGGTAGACGGTTACAGAATAAGATGTACAATTTATGGCGATATGTGAGAAAGATAACGTTTAACCCTAGATTGAACACATTGGGATTGTAGGAATCGGGGAAGCATCCTCTTGGGAGTCGCTTTCACAAAGCAGCGGTTCGTGGGAAGAAGCTGTTCAAATGGAACTTATATATCACGATGAAACATAAAGAGAATGAGAGTGGTTCGCTACAATGAGCGTGTCATGGCGTGTCTTAGCCGTGAATTTTGTAACAGATGGAACTAAGGAATGTAGTTCGTTTGAAAACTTTCCATTCAAATAGCGATACAATAGCTAGTGGCTTGCAAAGTTCCGTCTGCTGCAAAGTGGCTGTAGGTGGGGAATAATTCATCACCCACAAGGCCGCAGAAACGCTTTAGGATTCTATCGAGACTGGAAAGTGAAGAATGGACATTTTCTGGCAATATACGACAGAAGTGCTCCATTTTCGGCCTGATCGGGATCTGAAAAGGTAGAGAATAGCAGATTCAGTGAATCGATCAGTTTTTTGCCAGCATTTTCAGCGAAGGATCCTATGTACGAGTTCAACTTGAGAGTCCCAGTTGTACTAGAGTCCCAATAGTCGTTCAAAGCAAGGGGTCATCCTGAGAGGACACCTGTTCATTGGGTTAAGGGCCACGCTTTCGCAGACCGTTACAGCGTCAGACAAAAGCAAAGCTTAGTCAATATCAAAAGGGAAAATTGCATCACTACCCGGACCATCGGATTCTGATTAGCAAGCGACTGACTATTGCTGCTGTAGTTGCTTTGATCCTCACTTGCTGAAACGGACTTAAGAGTTTGTGTCAGAAGAACCTAAAGGAAAATTGTTAGCGCGTTCGATTCTCCTTGGTTGTCCCATAGCCTTGTGCAGGAAAATACTAACACTAGGATAGATAGGATAGATAGATAGATAGATAGATAGATAGATAGATAGATAGATAGATATGAATAGAATGAGATGGATAGAGAGAGAGAGAGATGTAGATAGATAGATATGAATAGAGTGAGATAGATAGATAGATAGATAGATAGATAGATAGATAGATATGAATAAAATGACATAGATAGATAGGTAGATAGATATGAATAGAATGAGACAGATGTGAATAGAATGAGATAGAAAGATAGATAGATAGATAGATAGATAGATAGATAGATAGATAGATAGATGTGAATAGAATGAGATAGATAGATATGAATAGAATGAGATACATAGATAGGTAGATAGATATGAATAGAATGAGATAGATGTGAATAGAATGAGATAGATAGATATATAGATAGATAGATAGATAGATATGAATAGAATGAGATAGATAGATAGATAGATAGATAGATAGATAGATAGATAGATTTAGAGAAAAAAATTCTCCCCATCTTTGTTGCATGATTATAGAACTATTCTCATTGTCTCTTTCATCGTGTGTGCATGTGTGCGTGTGTGACTGAGGTTCTGTGTGTGTGCGTGTCTCTGTGTCTATGTGTGTGAGTGTTTTCCTCGGTGTAGTCTATCACGCTAACGCTACTCTGTCGTAATTTCGCTTCTGTCGGGTTGTACTAGTAAATGACTAATACAGCCGGGCATCATGACATTTGTCATTATGAATGTCTGATAAAGAAAAGAAAATTGACGAGAGACTAAATAATCTAAGAAGGAGAAAATAATCAATGAGTGAAGGAAGAAAAGAGGGAATCCAAGATGGCTGTGAAATATTTTATTGAACGCTTTTATTGTTAACTGTTTGTGCCAAATGATAAGATGAATGGTTTTGTCAAATTTATGATTTGTTGTGAAGTAACCTGCTTGTTTCCATTGTCCTGTGACAATGTCCTATAGACAATGTGATGTCAGTCGTTTTAACGATGAAGGTTGATTGAGCCGACGATAGAAATTATACAACGAAAAAAAAAAATGAAATATCGTCTGCTTGTTTGAAATGCGCAAGCTTAAAACATTGAAGATAAATATCGTTTTATCGCTGAATTAAAAAATAAGAATACTGTGAATGGAACCTCATACAAAAATTGTCCTTTTCGAAACCAACGGCCAGGTTATTTTTGTCAGCGATACCAGGTTTTCTATTGAGGCAGGATTAAATATTATTGTCGTCTGCATAGATATCTACTTGGAAAAAAAAAATATATATATGTATGTATGTATGTATATTTAAATAAAAAAGAAAGAACAGTAAGATATTTTAAATCAGTTAATTTATATATATATATATATATATATATATATATATATATATATATATATATATATATATATATATAAATAAAGAACATTAAGATATATAATCCGGTGTTCTTAGAGATATTTTTATTTTTACAAAATAGTGCTCAATGTAAATTTACAGAGCATTAATATTATGAATTAATTGATTTAAAATATGTTTTTTTCGCTACACAGTTCTAACCATGTTACAAAAATGGAAGCTGAAAGCTCCGAATTTAATTTTGTAATTAAATTAAAGACATTAGTTCCATTTCATCCTCAAGCGAATTTTGGAGTAACTTTTAAAAATACAAGACCAAATGAGTGGTGTATGGGAGAAGGCTTTATATGGCACAAGGCAAATGAGGGGTATTTACGTTCAAAAGCTTTGTATAGCAAGGATCAAATGGAGGAGGCATGTAACAAGTTTTTGTATGGTTCAAGGTCTGCTCAGGGGAATGTATGATACAAAGCAAATGTGAGATATATTTCACAAGGCTTTATATTGTACACGGCCGAATTAGACGAATGTTTGGTGCAAGGTCGAATGAGACAAATATATCGAACAAGGCTGACTGTTAAAGGTGATTGGAATTTCGAACTGCACCCTTTATTTAGCGCACAGGTGTAAATTGCTGAAGCTAACTTTTAAGTGCAATGGACGTGCCTATCATCAATCAAAGTTAAAATTCATAATTTTTTATTCACCTGGATTTTTTAAAAAAAGCACCAATACGGAATAAGCGAATTTTCAGCCACGAGGTGGAGGCATGATGGAGTAATGGATAGCGGCTTGGATTGAGGAATTGGAGAACAGAGTTCGAATTCTAGTTGAACCCATTACTTACATGCTAATACCTTTTGGGAAAGGTATGAATCCTCTTCTTCCCCCAGCTATAGGTAAATAGCAAGATCTCCCCCCCAGCTATAGGTAAATAGCAGGGCAAAGCGGGTTCTATATCCTTGGAAGGCGCTTAGTCTGCCGTAAAAAGAAATGGCAACCTACTGTGATAAAAAAATCTGCCCTTTCAGTCATGTATCGAAAGATATATGATCGCCTAAGCGTGTATCATGCATGACACATAACTGAACCGATATTCACTTACGTACTAATACCCTTGGGAAAGGTATGAATCCGCTTCTTCTCCCCCCCCACCCGCCAGCTATGGGTAAATAGCAGGACAGACCGGGTTCTATAGCCTTGGATAGCAACTGGTCTATCATAAAAATAAATGGCAACCTACTGTGGTAAA